AAATGCAGGCAACTCGCGTTGGAGGCGGAGTTACGTGACCAACGGGGAGCAATAAGTAGTGACCCTCTGTCTGGACGGTCAGTTAACTAAGTTCATTATAAAATCCACTATATATTCACCACTCCATATAGCGATGAGGGATTTAGGGGTTAGGGCGGACATTTGGTCACAGTAAGTTTGTATAAGTGATGCAAACAGCAACTTTTAAACAGAGCTTGCACAAGGAGAAATGGGCTCATGCATGCATTTAATAGACGTTCCCTCTCGGGAGTGAAAACTTAAATATTTTCAAAACTGAAAAATTCAGTACTTTAACTAGAGTAGATTTTTGACCGAGCAACTTTTACTTGTAGTTGAGTAAGATTTGACCATGAGTATCAACACTTTTACTCAAGTACTGTAGTTGAGTACTTTGTCCACCACTGGCTGTAGGTCATAGCTGACTGATTTTACTCAGCTGTTAAACAGACAGACACAAAGTTCTTTAGAGTTCTTAAGGAACTCTTTAGGAACTCTCCTGAAGGAAAAGACAGCAGACCTGCTGTTTTTTCCTTCAGAAGAGTTCCTAAAGAAACCCTGCAAACTTTTGACTTAAGAATTTGCTTAATTTGATATTTTAAAAGATCTTTCAAATCAATATTTAGGACATTTGGCTGAATGACATCACCAGAATGGTTCTAATCACCTCAGTACAAATTATTGAATCTTTACATCACCTATTCCAAACAAAGGAACTTTACAAAAAGAACAATTTTCTGTGCACTAAGATGTAATCGTATCAGATGGCATTTAGACAGAAAGCCCAATTGGATCATAGTTATAATAAAATAAAGCTCTCTTTATGCGTATCCTTTTATCTTCTATCAAAGGAAGCGCAGTAGATTTAGTACTGAGCAAGTATGAGGCAACAGTCAGAGGGAAAACCTTCTTTCTTTAAAATAAATTCCACCAGAGCCTGGTTCTGTTCACTGATCAGACGAGCAAGAATCAGGCATTTATAAAAGGCTTGTTTTTTTAGAGGAAGCAGTACTTCTTAGGTTTTAAGACAGAGATCTAAATATTTCTTACAGCTATGACCAAATGATACCCTGAAGAGACCAGAGACCATAAAGCTCATCATCCTTACCCAGTTTGTCAGCCTCCTCTAAACCCCAGAGCAGCCTGAGCTGATTTCCTTTGCAAACATGTCCTCTGTCTATTAATTCACCATCCAACACTATAAACTGGGTACCCTCTGAAGAGTGATGCATTCAAGAGCTTCAAGAGAAATACGCAGAATGACAGTGGTCACACTGGAAATGTAAATCTATCTATCAATTGTAATAGTCAAAAGTAATTTTACCCTTCTGAGAGTTGGTCCAATCAGTTTTCGTTACTCCTCTAAGCCTGGGTTGCTTTCAGGGCAGGTTAAGGCAGCTCAGAAAGAGAATTAAACCACCTTAGTTGCTCAGTTATAAACCTGGACTCAGCAGGTATCATGATAGCTATTGAACCATTAAGATCCAAAACATTAGTAAATCCACACAACCAACTCTCTGCTGCCTCTCTCTCCTTTTAATTCAACTAATCTGCAAGATAAATGCCTTTAGAGACTTTAATCCAATGACTGAGTTTGAATCGAGTTCATCTGCAGTTTTAAACATAAACTTTGGGAACTCTTAGATTAAATCTAAAATAAAACTTGTTGAAGAAACAAATGATTAAAGTAGACAAATCTTTGTTTTGGCTCCTTGTTGTTTCTTGTTTAGTTTTATGAAAACAATTGCTCATTAAAAACCTCCTCAGAAAGAGGTCTGCATGTGGAGGGCAGAGATCCCAGATCGGTCCCTGTTAATGGGCAGACTGTTTACAAACAGCTCCCTGCCTGGATGCTCAACTGGGATCAGCTGGATCTGAAGTAATAAACGTCTTTATTGTGGGAAATAAAGAACCCTGTTTGCTGAAATTCCTGAAGAGAAAACTGGAAACATTTCAGTTTTTTTCTGTGCATCTTTGTGATGCTGCAACTGAAACTTTCCTCAGACCAAATATTTCAAGCATTCCTGATAACGGTCTCAGCATCAATCCCTCTTCTGCCTGGGTAAAAACAGCTGTTGTTTCATCAAGGAAGCATGTGGAGGATGCCGTGAGTCCAAAGCTAACAGCGCTGACAGCAGAGAAACAGTTTAGGTGAAGAAAATATGTTTGTTCAGGATTTATCAGAGTTAGCGTATCAGACTGATTTTCAGCTGAATTTCCTGCCCCTGATTTAATGAAGCAGCTCAGATCTGCTGTGACCAATTGAGGCTCAGGGGAGTGTTAAAACAATATCTGACTGCTGAAAGCACCATGCTGCAGATAAGAATCAAATTAACCAGGTATGCCGCTTTTTTAACCTACTTTGGATTTCCACAAATTTAATAAAAGGTTGGTTGTAAAAAAATAAAAATAAAATATATATATAGTCCATTTGATGCTGTTTTAAAGATAGAAATCAGCAGATTTGAAGCAGGATGAAATAGCAGCTAAAAAAAGATCTTTGATCTTTGTTCAACAGAAAAAAATCTGAAACGAAAAAAACTGCCGTTCTAATGTCCTAAACTGATAAAATCATCTACACATCTAGGAATGTAGTCATAGTAACTTATATAAGTCTAAGCCATATATGGTAACTAATACATATACAC